AGCACCGATCTATGCAATTGGGATAATGTATCAACCCAGTCAGTGAGCTGAATACGACAAGCATGGGGTACTGAAGATCAATTCTAACCCGGATCTTCATGGTTCAAATGACTTAAGACATAACTGGAGACACAATCATATCAAATCCACAATTACCAATAAGTTTTAGCTTTTCATCCAGATATTTAAAAAATGTATTGTATTTGGCAGAAACTGGACATCTATGTTCATTTCATTTAAAACTTCGAAGTGTGACACTAGATGACCTTTTATGAATTTTTAGCTGGGCTAAGCATGTGATACTCCATCAAGTACCGAAAGAAGGGATCATTTCACAATTTTCTTCATCTGAGGCATTTAATGATAATAAACCGATTTGAGGCCAGTCTGGATGTTAGTGAGGCTGATGGCAATGAAGATTTTAATTTTGTCATGTCCCGACTATGTTCATCTTTAATGGCTCTACTCTGGTCCATCTCAGTTAATGATATCAGAAATAAATGTGTGTATGTCTAAAGCCCCAATAGAAGTTTGCGTCTTTTTGGTCGTATGCAGAACATTGTCTTTTTGTAATTTCATTTCGTCACTCATTTTAAGCCTCACAAGTGTAGTCAGAAGTGCAGAGAGAGAGCTCCCATTATTTGGTTATGAAGTAGATGGGGAAAGATATGTAAATAGTCTTTGCCTGTTTGTCAGTCTTTTTTCCTTATATTTATGAGAAAATTAATCACATTTATACACACATCTTATATCTTTCTGAACATTAGTGATGTATGGAGAATCTCATCCTGATGTCTTTTGATGTCAAACATATTAACATGAGACTATTGAAGGTTAAAATGTTTTTGAAAGATATCTCTCAGCCAAGCGACGACATCTCTGGTTTTGGTTGGTCAGCATTGCATGTTGCATACAGTAAACTGAGACTTTTAATTGTTCAAAGAAGGATGCAGTGATTTAGACTGTATTAAACAGTCCTGATGCAAATATGCTATTGAACTTTTGATGGGGCTTTTGTAGTCATTTCATAAGCAAAACTGATCAAAAGTAGATTATGATGATGATGATGATGATGACATAGTACTCTATTGATAGGGATTTTTTCAAATCTTTCCACAAGCAAAACTGATCATCCCTATTAAAAGTAGATAGAATGATGATGATCATCATAATCATCATCACCATCATCATCATTCTATGCATGATGCACCAAATTCCACACAGTGAATGCATAGGGCACTACATTATGTCACAATTCTGCTGACTTGGTGTGAATTGAACAAATGTCATTTTCTGTAGGACTGACATGAAGAGATAAGGACCAAGGTTACAACCTTGTCTGATACCTGACAGCTTTGCAATGGTAAACAGACTATTACATGACAGGGTAATTAAGTAATTAAGATGTCAGCTGAGTTTGACTGACAGATATATAATTCCATTGCCTGGAGATGTATACCATCTGTTTGGTATGGACTACATGAAATTGATCTTGTGTTGTGTCTTCTTGGTGAAAGGAGTCCTTGTGTTGGCTGTCATAAGTGATTTGATTCGCTTGAAAACAAAGGATGTTACTTTGTAATGATTAATATGATACCCATATGATACGGGTCACTAACCTGAAGCTATGCCCTTTTTTATCTACTTAAGTGATTAAGTGTCTGATTATATAAAAGGTGTAAGGTATTCTTCAAAAGAAACATTGCGGGTGTAATTTACCAATTTTCTCAAAATATTCTAATACTTTCTAGTTTTATTGATTTGATTGCTTTCTAATTATATTATGACATGGTTCCTCAAAGCTTTCTGTGCTTGGAATCCATAAATGTTACATCCAAATCAGTCCTGTAGATAACAGAGTTAATTTAAGATTTAAGATGTTTAGTGCCACAGTCCATGATATATTTATATGGGATTCTACAGATCATTGGTTATGACAGGTGCCCCATGGAGATTACAATTGATCGGCTGCTGCCTGTACTGTAATAAGTGTGTTCATGGATGGAGTGGTCAGATTGATAAGATATCCCAACAGATTGACAACAGCGTGATTCCCTGCTCATGATATCAATCATTGGATTATTGGATCCAGATTTGATTATTTTCAGTCTGTCATCATAAAGCTGCATTAAAAACAAATATGCACATGCGTGCACACGAGCACACACTCTTTCTTTCTCACACACACACACACACACAGACTCACTCACTCACTCTTTCACACACACTCTCTCTCCCACTCTCACTCAAATGCGAACTCAACCCATCTCACCTACACTCACTCACTCACTCACTCACTCACTTAATCACCCTCACTCACTCACCCACTGACAATTCTTCATGTTTATTTATGGTTTGGACAAAAATAGTTTGATGGTTTTATAAAGCAGGCCAACCAGCAGATACGTAGTTACACATTAAAGCTTGAAAGAAAGCATTCATCATTTTTTGCCGGTAAATGACACTGCAATTTATCACAAGTTCCGAGACAGAAGTTCCTTGGAGTACATTATGTCAAGTTGATGGTAGACAATGGATGGACTTCCTGGTGGGAGCGACCATTTAACTAACTCTTCACGTCTTGGGATGTCAAGCTTTCACAGAAATATATCAAGGGTTGGGATGATCGTGTGTTGTTAGAAATATGAAATTGTGTAATTTTCTGTGTTTCTTAAGGTTATTAGTGTCAATTTTCACATTTTTTGTTAACTGATATTACATATTATTTAACATGTTTGCTCACCAAGTGAGTGAGTGAGTGAGCGACTTTGAACAATATTTCAGTTACATCACTCTGTGTCAACTTCGTGAGTGATGAAGTCAAGTTATGGACATTTACAACTTACAAATTTACCAGATGTTCTATTTATAGTCAGTAACCATAACGCAATCGCCCTTATTATGATTTAGGGCACCCATTAAGAGAGGAAAAAGTGGCAAATCATGAAACGAAAGGGCATTAGTGTTTCACATTTGATATGCATCTTTGGTAAGCTGTATACCCTGTTGAAGTTGCATGACATTGGACTTTATAGAGGGAGCATTTCAATAATAGCTAGTAGCAAACCGAGAGTAACAATATGCAGATTTAATTCAGAATGTCACAATAAAACCTCTATATTGCAAATAACGAATATGAAAGCTGTTACTTCCTGTAGCCATATGAATGTATGACCTTGGCAGTGGCCAGGCTTACAACGGCTACTCCTTGAAAGAAATTGTAGAAAATGAAAGGGAAGTACGAGATTGACTTTTGTTAACTTCAAAGGGAGAATGGGCTGTTCTTAAGACTATGCAAATATGTCTGTACCAGGCCGACATGTTGGTCACCTTGGCCGTAGCAAGCGTACAGTACAAATTAAGAGACAGACGGAAACTTTTCGTGGCAGGGATTATTGTTTTATTGCTCTGTCAGCAACTTTTTATTGCCCTTTTATGATACAGTTCGAATGAATTTTCTTCATAGCATTTTTTTATCTATTTCATAAACTTTAAAGTAATTCAGTAATTTAGGATTTGAGATCATGTTAAAGCAACATTTATTAATGACACATGGGTGCTTCCATCAAATGTTTTCAGTTCAATTTTAGTGAATGGATGTATCTTAGTTCGTTGCTTTTAGTTTGATAGATAGTATTTGACTTAAGAAGTGATATGATGAATGAATGAATGCATTTATCTTTGAAAACAACAAAAAACAAATTCTTTTCCATATTTTTTTTCCTCCACATTTAAATATATCTGGAAGTAAATAACATGGGACTGAGATGAACGTCACCTTTACTGCTCTGTAAAACTGTTTCAGGACTACCTTAGGTTTTAGTATGCCCTCTAATCAAACTGTATGACTGTATGACCCTTGTCTAGTATGATATACGGGGCCATATAATCCTGATGACACTCGGCGTCGTCGTTGGGAAGTTTCCCCTTCGAGGTGACATTGAGGTATTAACGTGAATGTCCTGATGACAGCTGACTGGCTTGTTAATGGCGACATGTACATGCCTTGAGGTGTTCATTTCATATGTCTATTACTCACGAAGTCTACTGTGCAAGCGATAAACCCAGTTACTGAAGTTGAAAGAAGCCGGATTGCTTTTAATAGCCTAGTAGTAGACCATTATATTTAAACCTTTTTGAAATCGAAACGACCTTTCCAATATAGTTTTGAAATAATTGTTAGTTATGTAACTGATTTTGACTTTTGAAGTTGTGATTTCATGTTATACACATTTATGTTATTACTTGGTGTTAGTCAGTTATATTGTGTAGGACAAATAGTATTGGTTATGGACATGATAGATTATTATCATTAACATTGTTTTCAGAAATGTATTGGTCATATCATATGGTGAAATAATAAATAGTCATAAATGTATAATTATACCTAATAATTAACTGCAACTGAGTATTGTATATGAGTAATTATGTAATAAACAAATGTTAATCTATTCCTAACACTTCAGAAAATTATGAAAATTTTGACTTTTTTTATGAAGATTTTAAGAATTTTCATTATGCTAAATAGGGCTACTTTGACATGTAAGTTCCTGGATATTGTCAAAAGATAGAGTTCATAAGTATCTAATTGATTGATTGGTTAGGACAGCTATGATTAAGATCAATGATGTAATTAAACAAAATTCAGCACTAATAGATACTTTCCTATTAGTAATTTTGACATTGTATTTTTAAGTTTCCTATAAGTTAAAATTCTGTATACATTCCACTGCATAACAGTTCATAAATATGTATGGATTACTTGCACAGTATTTACTTAGTAACAGGATAGTATAAAACTTTAAAGAAATAGGATGGGTATAAATAGACAATTAAAAATTCACAGCTGACAAATAGCGTGGATCCTTTCCACTTTGTACGAGGGGTTAAAAAGGATACCACAGACAAACAATCTGTGTTTTAAGATTTCACTTATCAAATAATTGTAAACCCAGCTACACAACAAATCAAAATCATATAACAAATTAAAATAGACTCACCTGTGCAAAATGCAACAAAAAGTAAAATTTCCACACAGGTAATGATTGCGGATCCCATGTTTGTCGGCGACTTGGAGAGCAAATACCTGTATCCTGCCCGTCCCCTCTCTGACAAGGCTATGTGGCGTCATTAGAAGGACAAGCCTGCCTTGCTATAAATAACAGCCACTCAGAACCTTGGATTTAATGTTTCAATGCTTTAGGCAGTATGGATGTAATGTCTTGAAGGGCCATTGTGATGCCTCTTCCCTGCCTGACACTCTCCATGAATAATCAGAAACAGAATTGTTACCTTCATGGGTCAGTGAACATGCCATTTGTTTGTGGTGTTGAAATTGACATGATACGGTTCTCACTTCTACAGTGATTGACAGGCAATAGACATCAGTACGGAAGGGTTGTATTTCCAGGGATTTACGAGATAGGGAGTGGGTCGTGTTGACAAATAGGTTCATGTTACAACTGATAAAAGTCTTAAGATCATGTGGAATAATGAATATGATAAATTTGTTTAGATTAAGTACGCAGGATCGCTGGATATTAATTATTTCAATTATTGTTATGCAATAAGTAGTTTTCAGTAGTTTTAATAGACTTAATACTTTTCGGCATAGGTGTAAAATGTTTTGACAATGGGAATGGATGTTTTGTAATGCTGTAAATTACAACTGTTATGTACACAAGCTTTGTATTTGGACAAAGGAAACATTTATTTGGGGTAATGTCAGAAATATGCATGAATCATTACCATTAAGCCAACATTTATAAAAATAAATGTGTATAATGTAAAGTGAGGAGGGGTCAGGACATGAAGGGCGACCATCTTGGAGGGTCCTATTGTTTTTTATCTGGAAATCCAACCCCCTCCATCTCACCCCACCTCCACCCCACGTATTTGCATTCGAGCAATAGGCTTTGTCATGGACTGACAGTCGTCATGTCTTATTTCAAGCACAGGGGACAATTCCATCATATCTTCAGCTGGATCAAATTGTGGGTTCCATTAACTGAAAATATGGTTGTATATTAACATTGTCGTGGAACAGGTGTCATTTTCGTGTAATCAGCATAACTGATAATGTCAAGATGATAAGCTGATTGTTCCTATTCTCCTGTGGTGGCCATGGATGACAGGAAGATTAGCATGTGTTTGTAGCATGGACAGTGGACAGTTTGTGGGGCTTGTCTTTGTTTGTACATGACCCATTAACCTTGCTCCAAGGCTGTACTGAATACAGAGCCCATGGATGTATGGTCATTCCATCCATCGAAGAGGCAAGTCTAGAGAAGGAACTCAGTCTGTTTTATTATTTTTTATATGTTATCATTTATGCTATTAATTTTTACATAAGAGACTTGTGCAAGTCTAATGACCCATCTGGAAACATAAGATGTGGATGAGGTATGTGATAATGAAGATGGTGAGACGGGGTCAGGGGGTCCACGCCAGGGGTGAGAGAGGTCGGGATGTTGTAGGATTTGGAAATAAGTAGAAATTGATTTTATTATTGTTTAATATCTTCATTCAATACTTTGTAGAACAAACAAGTTTTGCAATTTTGTGTATTGATGATTGAAATACACATTTAGGGAGTAATTTCTTAAAATGACTGGCTCACCCCAAAGTGAGTGACTGAGTATGGTTTTACGCCGCTTTTAGCAATATTCCAGCAATATTCCATCAATACCAGAAATGGGGACACCAGAAAAATGGCTTCACACATTGTACCCATGTGGGGAATCAAACCTGGGTCTTCCGCGTGACGAGTGAATGCTTTAACTACTGGGCTACCCCACCAATACTGTGTCCTTGGGACACTCTTTTGGAGGGTTTTGATTCATCATTTGAAAGAATGTAGCAAAAGTAAGGATATATAGAAAAAAAAGAATCCATATGTGCTTTCTCACCTGCTGTTTTTTATAAATATAAAACCCATTCAACTAAGAAATAAAAGAGTAGCTTTGTAACTGATGATTCATCAATTGCATGTGTGTGTCTTATGTACTAGAAAGATTAAAGCTTTTCTGACATAATTAGTCACATAATATTGTAGTCAAACACAAATAGCATTTATATTTTTACTTCATGAGTCATCAAAACAAATTCACTCCATATAAAATAGAAACATAAGCTCACATTTTTAATTTTAAATTTATATGTATCCTTAAGGCCAGACCAATTTTATTTCTTGTTTTACTTGATTTTGCCCTCAGAAAACCTAAAGGCAGGAGGGAAAAAAAAAAAAATAAAATCACCAAAGTAATATCCCTTCTAAATACTCAAAGTATTTTACTTTTGGCAATTTATGAAGTTTTATGGGGCGAAAAACATCTAAAAAAACATTTTCTTGTAAGTTTACATTTTTGGCCAATAAAAACTTCAGGATTTTATTTTTTGAGCAGGGAAAGTTAATTTATTTATTTTTTCTTATTCATGAAAAAATACAACAGGCCGAATCCAATAAAACAAGAAATAAAATTGGTCTGGCCTAATTTAAGAATATGTGGTGAATGGCTATTCTTAACCATGTACTGGAATATCTGAGTCTTGTTTGGGGCAGTGGGGTAGCCTTACACTGTGGTTAAAGTGATGGTTCGTCACATCGAAGACCGGGTTCGATTCCCCATATAGGTACAATGTGTGAAGTCTATTTCTGGTGTCCCCTGCTGTAATATTATTTGCTGGAATGTTGCTATAAGCGGCATAAAACCATACTCACTCTCTCACTGGAGTCTTGTCTGTGGTTTGAGTAAGCACGTTTCTTCAGATTTGACATGTTTACAAATATATACATGTATACTGTTTTGTGCTGTCTGTTTCGATTTCATGGATACCTGACTAAGGAACCGCCTGGTCTCTAGTTTGGGTATTTACATTTTCTGAGAGACAGGTACTGTCATTGTAGTTATTGTCCCGTGGGATTAATTTTCGCACTTTTAAGCTAAAAAGATTGTGCATCAATAATCATACCAAGCCAGAAATATTCATGGTCAAGTCATGACAAAATTCGGACAAATACACAAGTAGGAACAACATGCAATTTGTTTAATGCAGCCAATCAGTGATTTGAACAAAACGTGTTCATAAACAACAAACACTACTTTATGATTTCTATGTTTAATTATTGTAAGTACTGGTATACACTCTTACTTAATTTGTTGTCAGTTAATCTCGCATATGGGACAGGTGTTGTCATGTTGACACAAGTATAATCCCAACTCTCTCTGTGATTGTTTTAGTAACACGATTCAATTATGGCAGCTAGCTTTGATCATTGCATGTCTATCGGTTAGAAAACTTTGTGATGGATACCATCACTCAGGTGTTTGAAATGCTAAAAACAACTGTGCTAACAGGTCTTTGGTGAACTTTCTGTGAAAATTGCACCCCGTGAAAATATATACGATTACAGTATTATTGAAATTATATTTTAAAATTTACTTTAAAAGTAATCTGATTTTGAGTTAAAGGTTAGTGTGCATTGTATTTCACTTGGTGCACTCACTGACAACTGCACCAAACTCACACTTAACCATAGACGAATATAAGAGAGGAAATCATGTCATTTTCATAGAGCAGTTCTGCATGAATGAGTATTTAATAGTATTCCATGTTTTAACAACATATGCATGAAATCTATACTACATTAAGTGTAATAACTGTTCAGCAAATGGATAAAAATGTGAGAATTTTAGTATTTCAGTTGATTTCTAACCTTCAATGAGGTTCACCTGATGACATCATATAGTGGTGTGACATCACAGTACCAGGATACAATGCAATGATGTCATAGCTATGTGTTTGCCACTATACTCCTGTTCAATTTTGCTGTAAGGTGCTATCATGTCCTAAAATGGGTAAACTTCTTAAAACTAGAACTTTGTTGAATAAAAATCTTCCCTATCCTTAAAAATCTTCCCTATCCTTAAACACCCTGCTTGACTAAATTCTGAATCAGTGTGGAAGTAGTCTCTATTGCTGCCCTTTACTAAGACCAATGAGTAGACCCATGAAGGTCCGGCTTAGAATATTGATCTTCAGTAACCCATGCTTGTCGTAAGAGGTGACTAACGGGATCGGGTGGTCAGGCTCGCTTACTTGGTTGACACATGTCATCGGTTCCCAATTGTGCAGTTCGATGCTCATACTGTTGATCAGTGGATTGTCTGATCCAGACTTAATTGTTTACAGACCGCCGCCATATAGCTTGAATATTGCTGAGTGCGGCGTAAAACTAAACTCACTGACCAATGAGTAAGTGAGTAAGTATGGTTTTATGCTGCTTTTAGCAGTATCCAGGTGAAAACATGGCACTGCACACCAGACATGGGTTTCCTATATTGTACCCATGTTGGGAATAGAACCTAGGTCTTCAGCATGATGAGTGAATGCATTACCCGCTAGGCTACCCTACTGCCTCTACTCCGTGGTGTAGTGGTTAGAGCGTCCGCCCGGAGAGCGGAAGGTCTCGGGTTCGATCCCCGGACGCGTCATACCAAAAGACGTTAAAATATGGTACTTGTTGGTCCCTGCCTGGCGCGCTTGGCATTAATGGGTACAACAAGGACTGGTCGGCTCGGAGTCAGTATAATGTGTCTGAGTTGGGTATTCATGCTTCACTGCGGCATGGTATCTCAGTGGGCTGGCACTATAAAACCAGCTTAAGTCTGGGCTAGTACAAGCAGCCGCACATACACATACACACGCATGCACGTCATCATATGAGCGAAATATTCTCAAGTACGACGTTAAACCCAATTTCACCTCACCTCACTGCCTCTACTATAGTTTCTTGTGTATGTTACAGATAGTTTACAACACAGAGGGGATGTATAATATCTGTTATCTACCTTCAAAAGAACTCTAAGTTGAGTCACTGTTCGAACTAAGTCCAAGTTTATTCACTGCAATTTTATCTCGCTGTGTACAGTTCAATATTATATTTCCTGTATCTGAAGGTTTTGATTTGCTGAGGGTTAAGTTAGTTTAAGCTAACCACATGTACATGGCACGGATATCTGAGGTTTGAGTTGCCCACCTGATCTGACAACGAGCTATAATTTCTGAAAAGTGTATTCATGAAAGAGCTTTGTACAGAAAAACACAAAAAGATTGGGAAGATTACGCAATATATTTTATTTAAAACTGGCCATTCATGTTCATCAAATTCTTTAAAGAAGAACACTTTTTATGCATTGACAATTTCTTTGCTACAGTATATGGGATGTTTTGGTGTCGATGCTAACATAAGCACTTGCTTTATAATGGTGTTAGCAATATCACCAAAACTTCACATCTATTGCGAAAATCATCAATCCATAAAACTTGTTCTTTGTTTGTCATACCGGGGCAGTGTAGTAGCCTAATGGTTAAAGCGTTTGCTTGTCA